ACATTGATATAATCATAGCAAAGTCAACTCACAGAATATTATGAGAATGCAAATAATGACTAAGAAAGCATTTGGAAATATATGGCATTAAAAAGTCTGGATGGCCCTAGAATCATCCTTTCCCTATTCCTGATTTGTTGTCATTTAAGCCTTTTCATGCCTCATGCTATGTCCTCATCTCTCAGTTTTGAATTCTAGCCCTTGGTTTTCCAGGGCTGCATTTGGATTATAAGTATCCAAACATTGGCTTCTTCCATGGTCTCTGGCTTGCCACTGTCTCCATCTTTCAGTCCTTCATTTTCTTTTCTAATAACCTTTTGCTTCTATTCTTGCAGACCTTATGTAGGTGCTAGTCCACACCAAGGCACCCCAGGAAAAGTAGCTCAAGAGTGCTCTTATCTTTTAACTGGGAGCTCTGCCTTCAGTTCTCTCCCCTTTACAGTTCATTCTCAACCCGGCATAAGTTCAGTTGCACAATCTTTTTAAAATACACATCAGGCCATTTATCCCTTTCAGTAAAAATATGCAATAGTTCCTCCTGAGCTTCAGAATAAAGTCCAGATTTGTTGAGCTCAAAATCCAGTTTGACTTCTAAGACACCAACATGTCAGGAACCACAGACCCAATTATTTAAAAGGTACAATTAAACATTTTTCATTTTCTTAGATTGCCTAGTAAATAAATATTACACTGAATGTTTTAATCTGTTTTGGGATTTCTCAGAGAATAAGAGTTATTATATAAATCACTCATTGGCTGTCATTTTGTAGAGTGTGGAATACAGAATTGCATAAATGCTTACTACTGCTACATGTGTATCAGTACTTGGATTAACAAACCATTTGAAAGGCCTGTACTTTACATATCTTATACATGTAAATTACACATGTCTAGATTGCAACTAGGATTTAATTAGTTGGGCACTGGCAAATATTGGGTAAATGATTTTTTTGTCATATAGAGTTGAGCTCTACTTTTCATGAGTGAGAATACTATTTTTCTTTTAATTGTAGAACATTAATTGTAAACTTTGGGATGATATAATTTAAATGGATCTGAACAGACTATTAGGCATGTCAGTGCCTAACCTCTTGCCAAGCTGTATCTCTCTGCTAAGCTGTTGTGTACTATGTTACATAATCCCCTGCATTCATTTTCTCTACCTATTTAGCTTGGATGCGGACAAGGTGACTGCATTGTCTCTTCAACCTCCTTCTCAGTGTAAACACCACGTATAGAGAACAGATTTGGGGCAGTATTATGTTTTTCTAATGGAGAGTTTGGAGAATTGAATGGACTAAGAAATATGTGTTTGTCATTCTTTGATTTTGCCCGTTTTAGTTACATTCACCATCAACTTAGTGTGGTATTCAAGGTGATAAGAAAGTGCTAGAGCCTTAGCTTCTGGAAGGAAATTAAGGCAGATTAGGATCTTAGGAGAAAAACATCAGTTTTGAGAGTGTACAAAGGAACCATTTCTTCATAGTCCTCCCTCTTTCTCCTGCCAAGCAGTTTTATTTACTCTTGTTAAAGGCTGGGTTATATACGGTCAGTGCTGCTTCTCCCCATAACAAGCAGGAGGAAATTATCCCATGAATTAAAAATGATATAATTTTGCTTTTATAGAATGTGATTTAGAGAGGCATGTTCAGTTGTTTATTGTTTTTTGACACATGGAGGTAATACCCTGGTTCTGGGGTGATGCTTTTCTCGGTAGCTTCCTCTGGCCTAGGGAACAGGTAACCTGAAAAAAGTAGTCAATTGATCGTGGGGGCTGTGAACTCTTGCAGTGATTTTCATTAGATCTTTGCAAGAGAAAGCACTAGGTTATATAAAACCTTCCTTGGTATATTTGCACAGAGATTAGCATAAATATGCATGTGATTTACATAGACTTTTTCCCGCATATTGGCTTTACTTCTTGTTTATTTCCTGTGACATTTCTCTTCTTTACACTGATGTCATTTTTCTTCTATGACCTTCCACATAGAACAAGTATTTTGTTCTGAACACACCCAGATTCCAGGGAGGGATGGGAGACATTTCTTTTGATGAACAATTATGATTTACATTGAGTCAGGGGAATAGGTGTCTGGATCAATTTATCCAAGATTTTGGGATGGTTTGTAAGTCAATGAACAGATCTGTGAAAACATTTATGATCCTTAAGAAGTAGAGTTGGAACATATGGTATATCCAGACTGATGAACAAAAGGAAAATGCCAGTTAGAGACAAGCCCAAAGGCACTGGAATTCCAGAGCATTACAAACTCTGTGTCATCTTGGGCAACTCACTGGTTCCTACACATCATTTTCTTCCTGAACACAATAAGGGCATTAAATTAAGTACTCTCTAAAATCGCTTATATCTTTAAAATTTATTATTTTGACAGATGCCTTGTTTTAATTATATGAAAAATATTAAGCACCATGTAGCACATTAAATAACATCCTGGTATCTTGCTGTTTCATGTCAAACTTTGCCCCTTTGAAGGGTACTCGGTGATTAATGTAAGCTTCTCTTCAGAGGTCCTCCTTTTCTTGCTCATTTATCTCAGTTCAGTGGGCACACAAGGTGCGACTTAAATGTTTATAGAAGACACCCATTAATATACCATGTGTAGTGCCAAGGACAGGCATAAGACTTGACCCTGCACATTTGTGTCTATAGGAAAAGAGCTTAGTGGTGACAACACATTTGCTTTTGCTGTCTTCTACTCTAGATCAGGGTCACATCCAGGTCTGCTAAACAAGTGCTTCTCTGGTTGCAGTATAACAAAGACATTTCCTTGAAATGAAAGATCAAGACAGTAATAGGGTACTCAGGAATGGATAATTCTTTCAAACATACAGATTATGTCATATTTCTCTTCTCTGATTTTATTTTTGGGGAAATTTTTGGTAAAATGCACCAACATGGGTTAAATGCTGAGTAGTACTTGCTGCTTGTATATGTGTAAGTGATAGTATTGTCATTTATAGGTGGGTAGGTTCCTTTTGCTTATACCGGTTATGTGTACAAACAGAAATATTCAAGGAAGAAAACATGTATCATTGAGTCCCTATGGAACACACAGACAAATGTAACATCTTCTGTAAGTCTTTGGAATGTGAGTTGAGATTTACATTTTAATCATGTTATGATGCTACTTAATAATTAATTGAATAATATATATTGGGTGGTCATCTTTTCACATTATGAGAGTGACTCATTTACTTCTGACTTCATGATGAGAAAATACATCTTTTATTTTACTTAAGTGCTGTAATGGATGATAAGGATTAGAGTTGAGGTGGAATTGGCTTTGGTTACTAAGACCGAAGTATTGTTCTCACAAGGAAAGTGAAATTCCCTCAACCTCATTTTGTAACCCCCAGTCTTTAGAGGGGAACTACATATCTAAACTTGTATTGTTGCCCATGTCTTCATTAATGAGGTGCTTTTGATAGCTCTTGACCAATCCTGAAAGGAAGTAGGTTGCCGAGACTGTCAAGAGGATAGATGAGAGGGCCTCCCTGGTGGTGCAAGGGATTAAGATACAATCTATGAAACTATTTGCAGCCACTGCAGCAAGAGTTTGATCCCCTGCCAGGGAGTTACCCACATGGCACAGTAGACCTCTCCTGACTTGCCTGCTGCTCCCCTCAGCAGCATATTTCAGTCAGTCTGCCTATTCTGTTCCCCACTTTGTCTCTGGTGAATCCTCTCACCCCCCACACCTCTGGCCTACACCCCAGTTTTTGTATGCATAAATAAATCTTTTTTTTTTAAAGATTACAGATGAGAGTCTGCATGCTGTGTGCAGAAATGATAACTCAAATCAACAAATGATTAAATGAAATATATCCTGTCCTCTTAACTTGACTAGTCTACCTTTGCAACTACCTGATAAGCCAGGTTATCATTTATAACTTTTGGATTCCTCAGAGTTCTGCACTGGTTAATGGTAGCACAGAGAGAATACTCTATCCTTAGCTTGTGGCCTTTTCTCCTTCTCTTCCCACCTTTGGCTTCATCCTGTGTCACAAAGGGCCTGTATAAATACACACAGATGTCTTAGCCCACAAAGACAAATTCTATCCAAACCCCCACAAATAGCTCCTGTGATGAGTTCTCAGACCTCCAGGATACATACTGATGGCCTGGTTTGTCTTCAGAGACACGGTCCAGGGATGTGATTTGCACAAGCCCTGGAAACATACCATAGGCCCCTTAGGTAAGGAATCACAGGACCCCAGTGTCTGGAATATATACTTGAAAGAAAAAATGGGCACCAGTGGAATGTGAAACTTGTGTCCTGTGGGGAGAGATGTTCCATAGAATGGTTCTAACTGGGCCATCTTAAACTGGACACCCTCAAAGCAGAGTCTAAGGGAGGCACTGCAGTCTTGTCAAAGCTTTTTTACCAAACATCATTCTGTTCCCTTTTCCTCATCTGCTTGATCATCTTCTCAGGGCCAACCTCCTATTTAATAGCCCAATCACGTTCCATAGGGCCCGGAGTCTACTGTGGAAATCTAAGTCAACTGGGTTATTGATGGATAGGAATCAGAGCCAAGCCTTTCACGGTACTTGATTTTTAGTTATTGGTCAATAAAAGGTACCAAAAACTAAAGGACTCTTTGTGGCAGAACAGTTAATTATTCATTCTAAACCAGGTCTCCTATGAACATTTACAAGCCATCACTAAGCTAAAGCAATGTGAGCCTCACTTAACCATTTAGCATGAAATGTCCCTTTAGGTTTTTCTATGAGGGTATTTGAAGGAAACTGCCAGCACCCTGCACCCTTGTGCTGGCCTCCTACCCAGTGTGGACAAGGCCTTCTTCACTGGTTTTCCTGGTATTTCCATGGAGGTTGTGTGGAGAAGCTGGAGCCAGGGCTGTGCTGGAATTAGCCCACTGGCAGGGCAGTGCCCTTGGGGCATGCTCTGGTGTTTGCACAGATGTGACACAGGCCGGTCAAATGTTGAATGTTTTCCTCTTTCCTTTCCCTACAGCTCGAGAGGAGAATGTGGCCACTTTCCGGGGCTCAGAGTACCTGTGCTACGACCTGTCTCAGAACCCAATCCAGAGCAGCAGCGATGAAATCACCCTCTCCTTTAAGACCTGGCAGCGGAATGGGCTCATCCTGCACACGGGCAAGTCTGCTGACTATGTCAACCTGGCTCTGAAGGATGGTGCGGTCTCCTTGGTCATTAACCTGGGGTCTGGGGCCTTTGAGGCCATTGTGGAGCCAGTGAACGGCAAATTCAACGACAACGCCTGGCACGATGTCAAAGTGACTCGCAACCTCCGACAGGTAATGGCTGAGGGGAGAGAGTGCCCGCGGGCTCCTCTGAGGGCGTTGGGGAGGAAGCTTGTGAAGCAGGTGACTGATGGGTGAGGTGGAGAGGGATGGAGAGGCCGGTGTGGACTCATCCAAGTCTAACTTTCTCCCAGTCTTTGCAATTTCACAAGGAAAATTATTGAAATATGTTTCCTCTCATACTTCAATTTCCCACTGGTGCTTGTTATTTAAGAAAAAACTTCACTTGTATAGATAATAAAAGTTATAAGTACTTTCATTCCTTTTATTCTGCTTTCCTTTTTGTCATTTTCTTAATTACATCGGGATCTTGTATTATTGTTAAATTCAATTAGGGAGAGCGTTTTATTTCTGCAGCTTGATAGATTTTCCTCATTCTTCCGAATATCTGTGTTTTTCTTTTTGATTAAGTTAGTCATTACCAATGATGCCATCATTTTAACACCTTCCTGGAAAAAAACCTTCCTTTGTCTCTTCCTTTTAATTTACCACCCCCTTGCACTGTAATTTTTTTGTTGCGTTAACCTCAAGCCTTGGAATGAATTAGTTGGAATTTTTCAGAATTCCTCAGTTTCTCTGTTCCTGGTACGGTGGCCCTACTTTATTGCCCCTGTTTCTACCTCCGAGACTCTTCAGTTGACTGGGAGGCCTGGAAAGTGGAAGGACACAAATAAAAAAGTCAACTTTGGAGCAGCCTTTCCTGGTTCTGTCCGTGCTGGGGAGCTCCATCGCTTGCCGATCCTAAGTGGGCAACTCGTCAGGTGACAACCCTCTCAGAGAGCCTTAGCCAAGTGAAGTGATTTTTAATTCCAGAACCAATTAATAATAATATAATAAGAAGAAGAAGAAGAAGCCAAAATTAGTAAAAGAAAAGCATTTTCTATAAAAGTCAAGGTCTGTGCTGAGGCTGCCTTTTCTAGATTGCTATGTTCACATGATTTTGCCATGAAACCCAGCTGGACAGCATTTAGCTTTTGTTAATCAGAAAACATCATACAGATTTCCAGAAAGTGTTCGTTGAAGTTTCTTGTGCAATGTGATTGATTTAATGTCTTCTCAGGTCGATATGAAACTGTAAGAACTGACAGGTGTTTGCATGTTTTCTGCTTGATAAAAGTGTAATCCTTTGTCATGCAAAAGAAATGGTGCAGGCACACCCAGGTTGGAGACATGGTATTCAAAACACCAATTTCCACTCTTACTTGTGTCAAGGAAGTGATTTGGTTGGAAGATTCTATCCTGTCTGTGGTGAAGTTACCAAATAACACAATGCTTGGAGTCCCCAATCATCCTAATACATAGGGACTGGACATTTTTGAATCACTGTTGTAGGTTTTTCCTTCTGGGACAAAGAATTGCCAATGTTTTCTTTCATTATCCCTCATCCAGACATAGTCAGAAGAGACTTCCACTACTGTCAAGAGGATCCAGGTCAAATTTCCATTTGCTGATATATAAGGGCTTGATATGTTTGAGTTGCAGACTAGAACAAAACGTGAAATATGACCTTCTGCCAGTGTTGACTGGCATTATTCAGTGGAGATGTGGCTTTTCCAGAATTGGGGAGCAGAATCAGGTCATGTTTCTTAACAACTCTTCTGTTTCTTTAACTCTCCCACCCTACATACTTCCTGGTCATTCTAGAATAGTTTCAACTCGCCAGAGAAAGGCTTACTTTTATTTCTACTAAAAACACTTTTCAAAAATAGAATTGGGCTACAGTATGTCCTTCAAGTTGAGAGGGGATAGATAAACTGTAACTCAGATCTGGGTTGCTCTGTTTCAGCCAGAGCCAGCAGAGGGAGGCCAACCTAGAGGGTTTCTCCTCCAAGTTCCAGGCCCCGTCTCCTCTCTGTGCCTTTGGACAAGCCATTTAACCTTTCTGCACTACAGTTTCCAGTTATAAAATGATGATTACAATCCTCCTCAGCCATGTGTGGTGGCTAAATATGCAAAGCACCTTATGTTCCAGAAGGATTATGAGCTCGTCCATGGTCTGTGTACTAGACTCGTTGTGACATGAGCACAATTTACAGGCTGAGCACCCCGTCTCAAAGGTGACTGTGTCTTTCTGTCACTGAGAATGCAGTTAAGTATTGCTCACAGGTCTAGACAAGGCTACAGACACCCCTGCTTGTTGGGGGCATTTCTTGGCAGAAGGAGTATGAATCTTAGAGAAAACACACCCCCCCCCAATTGAACATCATCGAAATCCTGACTGAATGTTGCCTCTAAATGCAATTTATTGAAAGAAGAGAGAGAATCTCAGAAAAAGAGAGTTGACTTTGCAAATGCAATCTTTCAGCACTGAGTCATCTGAGATGATTATTTTGCCCATTAAAAATACATTTATAACATCTTTTTGAGTTCTCTAGGATACATTTGAAGGGATGGGAAACCCTTTCTATTTCAATTAAACTGTAAATTGCTTCATAAATATTTAATAACAAGCTTATGGCAGTCTCGTCTTTTTTGGGGAAGGTTGAATATCTTCTGTGACAAAAACACATCTGAGGAAGGCTGACTTGGAGTTTTCTGGCATATTCATTACCAAATGGAGCAGAACTTTCCCTATTTCTTCCTTTATGGTCAGGTACTCATGCTTCCGCCTTTGAGCCACATCAAGACCAAGACCAATTTCTTTATTGGTGATTCTGATTTAAGGAAGGAATGTGGATTATTTGTTCCCAACTGTCACTGGGATTAGGGACCGATATGGTGATCTATTTGCATGAGGTTTTTCTGGTCTTTGTTTTCTGCTCCATGACCTTGCCTGAGCCCAAGGTCAGGGCCACAGTGAATTGTTTTAAGCCTATCAGCCACTTTGTCAAACCACAAACACAAAACTGGGGTTACTGACTGCCAGTCTTCCAACTTCTTAACTCAGGGTGTGTTGACAATTTAACGTTTGACAACAGTAATAAGATGACTAATTGTAGGGCTTCTCTAATCACATTTAACCTGCCCTACTTCTCTGCCTTCCACACAAGAAATTGCTTGAAAACTTAAAAAAGTACACTTAAAGAGGAATGCTTCCCAAAGGAAGCATTATCACAAACCCAATACAGTAACTTCATTAGGAATAAAGAAGACCTCGATGACTTTTTGGTACTTTCTAATGATACAGTTACTCCTAACTAAAAGTAAAGGATGCAGGAGAATGACCCCCTCCTGCCACACAAATGCACAGTTGAGGGGGATACAGATCTTTAATTACTATGGAAGCCCTGAGTGAGCTGCATCCCATAGCCTTCCTGTGTTAGGTGTGACCTGTAAATGTAAGTTCTTTTCATTTTGGGAGAAAGTCATGAGCATCCAACACATGTAGTCAAAGTCAGATGTGAAAAAATAAATTCACAGCCTATTGGTATTTCAGTTTTCTTTATCTATCAATGTGTATCATGATAACATTTGGGGTTTGGGGGCGTCTTTTCTTTCAGGACAGGTGCAACATGTGTGTGATAGAGGGTGGGATGGGGGGGTGCTGTTTATCAGAAGAGCCCTTGGGAAGTAAGTATGACGCTACCTCCTCACTGGGGTGAGTTCTGGTCTGAGTGGGACTGGGAAGAGCCGGGGAGTTGAGTCACGGGGTGGCTGGATGGCAGCGACTTTCCTGGCCTGGGTGCCAAGGTTTTCCATAGAGTCCTGGTCTCATTGTCTTCCCCCACTCTCTTTTTCTGTGTTGGGTGCCTTTTTTTTGAAAAACTAACACAAGATCATTCATGCAATGTGTCATTTTACTAACCAACTGATGTACTAACACCCTAACGACTCATCTTTGCTTTTAGTTTTTTTAATTAACAATCGTTCTGTTCACAATTTTTAATTTCCTTTCTTCCCCCTTCTCCGCAAAGCACTCAGGCATCGGACACGCTATGGTAAACAAACTACATTGTCTGGTAGATATCATTCTTATTGTCTCTTTTTTTGGGTTTGCCGTGTGTTGCCCCTTTTCCTTCCCAAACCCCTCTTTTATCCTCTTCAGACTTGTTTCTTCTTCTTTTACAATTTCTTTTGTTGAATTCAATGCAAGCCTTTCTTTTTCTTTAAAAAAATTAAAGCAAAGCAAGGGGAGGCACCTGTCCTGGAACTATCTGGACGAGTTTGGTGCATACGGTTTCCTTTTCTTCAGTTTGTAATTTTTTTTTTTCCCAAAAATATTTTTTTAAAAGAGAGTTTCTCCATTTAGCTCAATTTGTTTTGTTTTCTTATTTTGCAACTCCCAAGTTACAGACTAGGCCTGGCAGAGATTTCTATTGAGGACTTTCTTCTCTCCACGTTTTCCTCTCTCTCTCTCTCTCCCGACTTTTCCCTTCTCCCCACGCCTTAACCCCCTTTTTCTTTCCCTTTTGTGTGGCCCACAGAGGCTGCTGCAGGTGGTCTCACCTGACACCCCACTGAGGCCAGCGGGAGCTCCGCCCACTGTGCTCCCCTCTCACACTCTGCATGGCATGTTCCTGTCTCGTGTGGATTTCCCCACTGGCATCAGAATATGTGCCCTCATCTCCCTGCTCATTACTAACAACTTACCAGCCATCAACCCAATTCCAGTTTCTTTTCTCTCTCTCTTTTTCCCCCTCCACTCTTATTGATTCTCCTTTCATCCTTCCCATATTTTGGGGTTGGGTTTGGACGTTTTCTTTTCTTTTTTTTTGAGCGAGGGAGGTGGTAGGCAGGGGAAAGCCGACCCTTTAGTTTTGAGTGTTCTTTGTTTTTCTGTCACTTCCATCCTGATTTTCAGTTTGTTCAGTGCATGTAAGTGTGAAGTGGATTTGGGTTCTTTCACTGAGTTCTCCTCACCCCTTCCCTCGTCCCGACCTTTTTTCTTCTGTCTTCTCTCTTGGCTCGGGATAATTTTCGCATGGGTGTGTCGGCGTATGATGTGCACACGCTTTGAAGCTCCAACTCTTCTCTCTGCCTCCTGCTCCTCTCATGGATGTTGGGTGTGTGGGTGCTATTTCTTCCCTGGGGGCATTATTATGATTATTTTGGTTATCATGCCTTATCATTCATTTCTTTTTGTTAGTGTTGCCTTTTTGGTTTGGGTCATTTCTTCCCTAGGGGGTGGTGATGGCAATGAAGGGAGGGTGGAGGTTGGTGTTCTGGGGTCTTCCACGGCATGTATCATCCATGACATATCAACATTGACGCCCTCACCTTCCTTCCCTGAATGCATGTTTGTCAGTTGGTGTGAGTCCAAAAAGGAAACAAAGAAAAAAAGAAAAGAAAAAAAGAAAAAAGGAAAAATACCATCCACAGCCAAAGACCAACCCCTACCAAACCCATTGTTCAATGTCTCCTTTGCTGTTTTTCACCACCACCATAATTAAGTCATTAAAATATAAGTGATCATTTTACCGATGAACTAAGACAAGTGCTATCATCTGAGGATAGTTCCATTTTCTAGCCTGACCAAGTGGAGAGTTGCAATGGTTGGAGCAAGTCGCTCAGCGTGGCAATTCCCAGGAGTCCGCAGGGGATGCTGGAAGCTTGGGCCACGGGGGAGACAGACTAGAAAATGGAACTTGGCTACACATACCAAAATCAAACCAAATTATAGAGAATACCTCACCAAAATCTGAATGAAAGTGATGCCACAGGTAGGGGAACCCTCCAACTCTTGATAGGACTATAAGGTCATTGTTGGGAATTTTTTTTGTCCCTATGTCCCTCTACCAGGTGACAATCTCTGTGGATGGCATCCTTACCACAACGGGGTACACTCAAGAGGACTACACCATGCTGGGCTCAGATGACTTCTTTTACGTGGGAGGAAGTCCAAGCACCGCTGACTTACCAGGCTCCCCCGTCAGCAACAACTTCATGGGCTGCCTTAAAGAGGTAAGGTTCACATACCCCACTAAATGCACTGACTGAGAACAAATGGAATTTCTAATTCAGTTAGTGGAGCTGCCCTTGAATCTAGTCTATGAGGCTATCAGTTGTAGCGGAAAAGATGCTGGATCCTACATTTCAGTTTCCTTGTCTAACTAAAGGGGCACATTGACACCCCAGGTGGCTGTGATTGATACAATGAAAGAAAAACCATAGCTAAAAGACTTTTGGCATGACAAGGAGCTAGACACTTGCTTTACCTGTTTAGTACCAATGTTCTAGCTAAATGTGGCTCAATTTGTGGATGGGTATCGTGTCTAAAACATAACAAATGCATTATTTTACATTTGTCAAGCTTGGTGTTCCCAAGACTGATTATTTGAGATGAAAGAAAATCCTCAGAATATAACATTAAGGCCCAGAAGACTGATTTTTCCTTTTTCCATTTTCCCCCTGGAAAGCTGGCAGCTGTGAGAAAGCAGTGGGGCTTTGCCATGACTCATTTATTGTTATTGTAGCTGATATGTTGAGGCCTCTGTCTGAGAGCAGAGGAGCCTCAGTTGAGTGTAAGTTCAACCTCTAAGGTCAATTGTTGAAGCAAAAAGAATCAGACTTGATTTGCTAGAGTTCTTTCAGGACAGTCATCAGAGCAGCACATTGCACATTTTTTATTAATCTGAGCTAAGCTTGATTGCCTAAGATGTCTACACCATTTCTCTGGGGAAATTCCTTGAGAAGCCAACAGTGATCCTTCCTGTAGATAAAGATCCATGGTGACTTGTTACAAACCTCCTCTTGGGGCAAGTGTTTTTTTTTTTTTTTTTAAAGATTTATTTATTGTTATACAAGAGCTGGGGTACAGGCCAGAGGCACGGGAGGGTAAGAGGACAGAGCGGGGAGCAGAACTGGCAGATTGACTGAAATACACCACTGAGGGGAGCAGTGGGCGAGACAGGAGAGGTCTGCTGTGCTATGTGGGACCCTTACCGGCCGGCCGGAATTGAACCCACACTGTAGAGGCTGCAGACAGATTCACAGTGCAGTGCTCAACCTGCTGCACACTGGGGAGGCCTTGTTTTTTTTTTTTAATATTTTATTTATTCATGCATGCAAGAGCTGGGGTACAGGCCAGAGGTGTCGGGGGTGAGAGGATTCACCAGAAACAGAGTGGGGAACAGAACAGGCAGATTGACCGAAGTACACTGCTGGGGGGAACAGTGGGCTAGGTCTGCTGCGCCATATGGGTTGCTCCCTGGCTGGCTGGGGATTGAACTCATGCTGCAGAGTCTTCAGACTGCTTCATGGTGCAGTGCTTAACCTCTTGCACCACCAGGGAGGCCCCTAAGCATTTTATTCTTACTGTGGGAATTTGAAATCCGCTGGACACCAGTGATACATGTATGACATGACATTGCACGGGTGTTCACTCTCTCCATTCACTGGTGACCATGTCAAGACAGGAGTGTGTGTGTGAGATGCCTGGCGTGTAGTAGGTTCCTAATATGTGGTTATTGAATAGATACGTTTATCAAGCGATCATCAAGTGCCTTGTTTGTGCTATAATTAAACTAAGCAGCTTTTTGCAAACCATGGTTTCCATGCTCCAAGACTTTATGAGCACAGACGAAATGAGATTGATAAGTCACAGGTTACAACCAACTGCTGGATAGAGACTAAATGTTCTAACTGAGTAGAGGAAACATACATTTTGGTAGGAGAGGGTGTTGATGAAGAATTGCTATCTGAGCTGAGCCTTGCTACAATAAACCACTTGTGAATTGAGAGGAAGGGGTAGGAAGGAGACATGACAAAGACAGAAAATGTGATTGTGACTTTGTGTTGTCCTGGATCTGAAGAAAAAATTATAGTAGAGAGCCCAGAGTGTTTTGCTCTCTCTGCTGGACATGACTTAGGTTTCTGCTGGCTGGCAGGATTCCGCTGGTCTATCCTGGTGGAATGGCAGCAGGCATACAGTACTTCTTCCCTAAATTTACTTCCACTTGGGTAGAATATAGGTATAAACTACTCAGTGTCTGATGAAGCCGAAAAGACTCTTAAACACCATCAAATCACATTGCATTGAATTGCACTCTGGTCAGAAATAGATAAGAACATTCTGTTACCACGTGTTTGACTAAGGAATGAATGAGGCTTTGATTGCTGTGGAGAGCTATTTTGTTTTTGTAGTAAAACAGCCCGGAGCATGGAGTTTCTTCTGGACACGACTAGACATGGTGTCTATGACTAATTTCCCCCTGTATACAATTACATCAAATTATCTCTTAATTATGTACTTGGAGACAAAAGACTAGTTTTCCAACTGCATATCTATCACTCAGGAAAAGGATGCCCTTTGAACATTTTGACACAAGTCTCATAAAAACAAAACACTATCTCTGATATCTATCCATGTAGAACCTAACGTCAGTAAAAATCTACACACACACACACACACACACACACACACACACACACACACTCCAGTTAGAGAGCATAAAGCTTCAAATGCCTGTGAAATGTGTGTCCCTTAATAACTTAAAAATTAAACAGTTTGGAAAAGCAGTGGTAAGGACATAACAGCAATTTCTAAAGAAAATACCTATTTTAACTAGCAGCATAAATTTGCATTTAAAACTATACCAAGTTAGAAAAAAAGAAAAGCCCAAAATTTTAGAGGGACAGTAGGCACAATTAAAACTTTTATTAAATTTTTGCCTCCCTCTTGCCTTTATGTATTTAGTGTCTTTCTAAATGACATGGAAGGCTTTTGCATTTATAGTGTTTTAAACAAGTAAATTTAAGTCTTATATTGTCCCAGTGTTCCATTTCATCATTACAACTCACTTTTTTTAATGGGCGTGTCTAGGAAATTATTCTATTGTTCTTTTCATTTCTCTTTGACAATTAGCTAAACAACAGGCATTTCCAGCTATGCTCGAATTAGCTCCTCAACAAATCCCACTTTACACACCCTTAGAAAGGTCTTCAATTAGTTTAAAATCCTCCCTCCCTCCCCATGTCCTTATTCCCTTTGGTTGGTCTTATTTTGCCCTTTGTGGCTCTACATTGCCTTAAGATGAACTGGGTACTTTTATGTGTCATTTTTTTCAAACTGGAGAGATGGTAAATGGGTTCTAGGGTCCCTATCCCAGAATGATACCCTGTGTGTGGCACACAATGGTTTTACCTTTGGAATTATAGTTCACTCACACCCGAAAGGTAGCTTGGGACTCCAGTGACTGTTGATGGCACCTGTGTGCATACCTCCTGACTTGATACTACTGTAGAAGCCACAACCAAGAGTGACCGGTTGTTTTCAAACTACTGGTTCTCTATGCACCTCAGTTATCAATACAAGACTTGTGTCCTCAGAGTCAACATTGTGTTCCTCTTGTTTTCATGTGTCTATCTTATTTGGGTTCTTCTTGTGTGCTCAGGTCTTAGAATAGTTCTTGGTACCAGTGGGCTTTCTGTAATGTTTGCTGAATGAAATCAGATGTTTGTAAATTAATAAACAGCTTTTAGATAAATGCGCTTAGGTACTGTTAACCATGTGACTTTCTAGGGAGCACTGAAAACATCTTGAGATGGTGATCATTGAATCTTTCAGGACTTTCTAGCTATTTATGGAATTAAAAGAAAGGTTTAGAGATCTTTATTTTTTTAGACATACTTTATTTTTTTAATTTATTATTTTTTTTATACAAGAACCTGAGTACAGACCAGATGTGTGGAAGGCTGAGAGGATTCACCAGAGACAGAGCAGGGAGAAGAACAGGCAGATAGACCGAAATACACTGCTGAGGGGAGCAGCTGGTGAGACAAGAGAGATCTGCCGCAACATGTGGGTTTCAACCCCGCTGGCCAGGATCAAACCCACACTGCAGAGGCTGCAGACAGCTTCCTAGTGCGGCACTCAACCACCTGCACCACCAGGGAGGCCCCTAGAGATCTTTATTTTTTAAAGTACATTTTTATTAAATATCGTTCACAGTATTGTATATGATTTAATGGAATGTATGTTACCACAGCTCCCCCGCTACCAAAGCACCCATGGGTCCTCTACCCCACTTTGTTCCAAACCCCATCCTCTCTCAATTCTGCAGTCATATTTATAGGATTTGATTTGATTTAGTTTTGTCTGTTCCTCTGTTTTATTTCTCTCTATTCCATATATTAGTGAACTCATCCAGTGTTTGTCTTTTCTTTCTGTCTTATTTCACTTACCGTAATCTCCTCCACTTCCATCCCTCTTGTCACACATGACATAATTTTGTCTCCCTTTATAGCCGAGCTGTAGTCCACTGTGTGTATATATCACATCCTGTTTATCCACTCATCTGTTATTGGGCACTTAGATTGCTCTCATGACTTGACTGTTGTAAATATTTATTATATTAACAGGCTTAGCAAGGCTAAAAGAAAAGGGTTGGAACTTCCTCTAGAAAGAAAGGGATTGAAAAGGTGTGGAGGGGGTATCCTATATAATGAAAACAAAAATGCCAGTTTTAAAATCAGAAAACCTGGATGAGAACACCAGCTTTCTCATTGGCTGTACAGCCTGGAATACACCACTGTTCTTATTCGAGTCCTTACTCATACATGAATCTAATAAGGCCTTTGTTGTGTTCATCTTAAGAACAAATGAAATAATATACATAAAAGTGAAACCATATGGAAATATGGTGATTATCTATAATAATAATTACTATGGATATGCACTGCATCTTGTAAAACAGTTTCTGAATATACATAAAAGCTTAAGTGACTATGCACTACCAAGTGCTTATCTCTGTACTTTCCACATTAGCAAATTACTGCCAGCAGGGGAAATAAACTTTATTCTGAGGTTTGTCCAACTACACTCCTCTCATCTCCAGTAGGAAGAACCCATCCCCACCCACCCTCAGTCATTATCTTGTTTGTTGCCTTCATTCATTTGTTGTTTGAAAACTGTCAGTCTCACTCTATTAACATATGAACTCCCTGAGGACAAAGGCCCTCGTCACTTGTCACTTCACAGGTGTTTCTCCAGCACTGAGAAGAATTCCTGGAATAAAAAAAAAAAATCACTCAATAAGCATGTTTCAAATAAATAACTGAATAAATAATGAATGAACTGACTTATTGAACTCTAAAATCTGGTCAAACTTAGCTCAACAGATCCATGCCACAGAAGACAACGACAAAGCTAAGCTATAAGAATGAATCAGACATGGTTCCTGCCTTATAGACCCTCACGTTTAGTGGAAGAGACAGACACACAAATATAATTTCAATGAAAGGCAGTTAGTGCACAAAAAAGCACTAACAGGTTCAATAGGACTTCTGGGGAGCAGAACTTCACATATCCTGGGAGTTAGGAAAACCCCATGGAGGAGGCAACACCCAAGGGGGAGCTTGAAGATGAATAGAAGTAAACAGGACATTGGGGGGATTGGTCCTTCGGGGCAATGGAACTGGGTGTGCCCAGGCATGGAGACAGGACCCATCAAGGTGCCTGGGTGCAGAGCTAATGGTTTGCTAATTTCAAGACACAAAATATAAGAGTATGAGTTTTCAAAATGTAACCACAAAGTTCAGTAGGGGCTAGATGACAGAGCTTCATTTCATGCTGTACCCTTAGATTTTATTCTATTGGAACCATTGTAGGAACTTAAGTAGTAGAATGACGTGGTCATATTGGTTATCTTGCGCAACAGAATTAAAGTTCCTTGAGGACTCGAGGTCCATCCCCTACTTCTCCACAATATATATTTTTACCCAGATATATGAGGAGCAGGATTGGGATGGGTGTGGCTCCGGTTTAGCATTGGGTTGGCAGAGTATCCCTCTGAATCTTGACATTTCTACAGAAAAGATTTTCTTTCCAGTTCGCATTTCATTTTCTGATAACCCTCCCTGTCAGACGAACTTTGCTCCTTTCTGTCTTTGACACTGCTGAGTGCTGAGCAATTATCGGCAGGTGAAGCACAGATGCTGGAGGAAATCTAGGTTGTGACTGAGTTGCTCGGGTAGTGTCTTCAGCGCCAGGTTCAGGGGGCTTGCGCAAGGCCACCACGGAGTCCTGCCGTGTGTGGTTTGATTTGGATCTTTCCACATCACAGGCCCATCACTTCTGTCTGTTCCTTTTTTCCTGGTGTGTTGATTCTCTTTCTGGATCTCTCCATTTGTCCGTGGAAAAGCTCAGGTGCTGTTGAGACCCCCTGGTACAGATTGGTCTGTCTTACCTTTTTTCTCATGGCATCTCGAATGGGGAGGAAGGAAGAGCTGGATATTGGAGAGGGGAACACATATTTAAAGGAAAAAGGATTGGGCAGAACATTATTGTGCACATTCCATTCCGCATCCCTTTGTGATTATTAGCCATTTAAAACCGAATGGGATTTTGCAGCCAGAGATAGTCTCTGAACAGATGATTAATGGTTTAATCTGTAATAACTTTACATTTTATAGAACCCTGATAGGAGTCCACATCTGGTGAGCCAAGCTATTTAAGGCTGTGTTAATTCTGTTAATTGCTATACGTTTATTCAAATTGCTGGCACCTGCGGGCTCTGGGATAATGTGTTTGTTGTTGCCTTTTTTTTTTTTTAATATACTCATTTTATTTTACCCTGCTTCACTGTCCTTGCTGCTGTCTCTTATGCTCTCAATTTAACTTCCGGTTTTTCTTTTGCATTATCTTCTTGCATCTTTAATCACTGTGCTTTTAAATTATTTTTTTTTCTTATTCTCATTTTTTCCTATTTCTTTGCTTTCCTGGCTCTTGTTTTGGTATCCTTACTGGTTTCTCAGGTGGTGGAAATGATTCTGTCCATAATAAAGTAAATTTAGGGCGTGAAATTGGATCTCACCATTCTCTTTCTCCTAGCCCCAAGAATACTGTGCAGGTAGTTCTCCATTGAGCAAAGATCAAGTGAGACTTTTCAAGTCAGCGTGGAAAATGGGAAAGGACTTAGAATTTGGTGGCTTTAGAGCCAGAAGTCCAAGGTTTGAGTTGTGCCTAGACTAAGTTGTAAGACATTTAGAAAGCCACCTGACTGCTCCTGACTGCCTTTTTCTTCATCATAGAGTACATATTTCAAGCAATTTTTTGTTTGGTAGGAAGAAATAGAATTTAAAAAATGGAGATGCTTTATGAACTGCATAACTCTGTGTAAATGCTAGTGTTCTTATTTATGTTATTAACTGATCAGATCTGACCAAGGAACCACTTATTGCTCTTTGCTGTTCCTGTGATTAAGAAACTGCAGAAGTTAGGGTATTTCAATGTAGCTTAACAAACAGAGCAACTGAATTGGGACCTGGCTCCAGATACAGTTCAGGCGCTAGCTAGAGAACCATACAATTTCTTTTTTAAAAAAATATTTATTTATTTATGCATACAAGAGTGGGGTACAGGCCAGAGGTATGGGGGGGGGTGAGAGAATTCACCAGACACAGAGTAGGGAACAGAACATGTGATTGACTGAAATACACTGCTGAGGGGAGCAGCGGGAGAGACAGGAGAGGTCTGCTGCGCCAGGTGGGTTGCTCCCTGTCCAGCCGGGATCGAACTTGTGCTGCAGAGGCTGTGGATCGCTTCATTGGTTGTATCTTAACGCCTTGCGCCACCAGGGAGGCCCCCTTACAATCTCCTTGACATCCATGTCTTAATCTGTCAAATGAGGATAATGATCATTCACTGCCAAAGCCAAATGCACTACCTTGGAGAACTTCTAATGTAGAAATAACAAGTTATTATATACCAATTTTTGGATAGCAAGGAAGAATTTATTTCCCTGCTCTTGCAAAGAGATGCTGGAAGGACTGTAAGGACTTGAATGGAAGAATTCCTTCACAGAAAAGCACCAATATAAAAAGAGACCAAGAGGGGACGGATTCCCATAAGGTAGAAAGAAGTGGAACCTGAATCAGAAGCTGGAAAGTGGTAGAATGCGGCAGAAGAAGAAAAGACATAAGAGAAACTATGTCTCAGGAGTTGCCTATTGGTCCATAGTAATGTCTTGTGACTCAGTTTAAGAATAACATTTTGTCAAGAGGAGAAATTACTTTCCAGAGAATAGATTACTCTGGGTTTCAGGGAACTGAACTGGATAGGATAGAAAATGACACTTGTCACAAAGTTAGAATAAACAAAACCCTGAGCTACTGGGGATGTGCTGAACATGAAATTTATTTCACAGGGTGGAGGCAAGGTGTGAGAATTTAGCCCAGGATGGGTGTAAGAAGGTGGTACACACCTAAGACAAGTATCAGGAAGACTGAAGATTTAAGGACATTTAAGTCAGTATTGCATTGTCACAACAAAGAGGCAAAGAGGATTCCCAGTTAATGTCAGAATAAAAATATTGGAGGATGGTTTGCCACTGACAGCTTTGGAAGGGCTATTGCTAGAGTAGTAGATAATGGATAACTTTGGGGGGAGATCTTGCATCCATTTCTCCTCCCCTTTTAAATGTTTCTTGATTTTTATTCACCCTCAGTCTACATCCAGTAATCTTGTGGCACTGATTTCACTCATGGCTCCATTGGTGATTGTGTTAGCTCTAAGTCAAAGATTTCATTCCTGGCTGCTGGCTGGTAGTTTTGTTTATATGTGGGTGCCTGTCCCAAATATCATAGTGACATAGAGGTCAGTGACATAGAGGCTTGGGACTTTTGTTTATCTGTTGTGACAGGAAGCTCTCCACCCTCTGGGCTAGAACTTGGGGTATTTTATTTTATTATATTTATTTTTTATTTAAATCCTTCTTTTTTTAAAGATTTATTTATTTATTTATACAAGCACTGGGTATAGTCAGAAGTGCAGGAGGGTGAGAGAATTCACCAGAGCCAGAGTGGGGAACAGAACAGGCAGACTGACGAGGTACACTGCTGAGGAGAGTAGCGGGTGGCAGGAGAGGTCTGCGTGCCATGTGGAACCTCGCCACCCGGCTGGATGGGATGGCGCTGCGCTGGCTGCGGGCAGCTTCGCAACCCAGCGCTCAACCACTGAGCCACTGGGGAGGCCCAACTTGGGGTATTTTAAACTCTGAGTTTCTGGCCACCATCTTGCTGCCAACAGAGCCCAAAAATGAAGCCAGAATAGAGAATAGCAGATTCAGGAAGTGGGGAAAAACTAGGTCCCAATGACATTTTAAGGCCCTGTATCAAATATTCTTCAAACTGGACTGCCCCTGGATCTCTAGAGATAGTAAGTAAGGCATGACTATTTAAATATATCACTGGATTCCTATGAATGGATCTATTTTGATCTACATGGATCATTCAGTGCATCTCACAATGCACTGTCCATATTGGTATTCATTTATATTAGAGACATGAGGGACTGTAAGAGAAAATTTTCATCAACTTTGCGGATTGCAGGATACTGGAATGATAGAAAATATGTGCCTATAGAATCTGAGGCTACATTAATAGAGTTACGATACATAAACAAAGGAGGTGAGAGTTTTATAATGTAATTTATTGACTGAGAGGGCAGGCATTAGATCTAGAGTTCTTGGCTGCAAGGCCTTGGTCTACTCCTGTTAGCTATATGATGCTGGGCAAGTTACGTAATCCTTTCTTTGTCTCACATATTTAATAAATGTGGAGAATAAATTTACCTATTTTGCAGGGTTTCTGTGAGTTTTATCTGAGATGATAAATGTAAAATCCTTATTAAAATGTTTAAATACATAGAAAATGCTCAGTAAAATGTTTTTGTCCTCACCAAGATAATTATGTACTAATGTGATACTGAGAGCAGTTCTGGATGACAGATTTTTAAAAGGTTAGCTGACTAATTGATTTATTAGAACATGTTTAGAGCTGGGCTGTGAAAAAAAATAAAGGGGCTCAAGTATCAGACTTCAAATACTTGACTCACAGACCCAGGGACATGAGGGAGAAAAGATGCCTGAGCCCAGGGTGTGAGAGTTTTTTCATACGTAAAGGACTGTCTTGTGTAAATGGATTAAATGTGGTTCACATATCTTCCAGAAGAAGAACTAAGGCAAATGTGAAGCTGGATATTTACTACAAGGAGACTTTACAAAGAGA